GCTCGCTCTCGTGCCTTCTCCTTCATCCTCTCCTATTCTATTTTCCCCTCTCCCTCCTTCTCTTTTCCTTGTGCCCTCCTCTCATCTCCTCTTCTCGGATCTTGTCCTTCTCCGTCATCCCATCATGCCAATATCCTTCAGGGAGCTCTCTCACAACCTGCTCTCTGAATCTATCCCCTCAACCCTTGGCCTGTTAAGGAATCTGACTTTCATGTGAGTTCCACCACGCACGCATTACTCCCTCCGGTTCCTGCCGATTCTCTTCACTTCTGCTGGCGAAAGCTTCACAACTTCGTCTCGCTCTCACGCATTTCTGCTCGCACGCGCGCGCGCGCACACACACACACTCACCCCACCCCACCCCCCCCCTCTTCTCCCCCTCACACAACCTCCCCCTCCCCCCTCCCCCCCACTCTTCCCCCTCCCCCCCACTCTCCCCCCCCCCCCCCCCCCACCCCCCCCCTTCCACCCCACACGCACGCACCCTCAGGGATCTGAGCTCCAACCGGCTATCCGGCAACATCCCTGGCGAGCTAAGCTCCCTTGACAGTCTCGAACACCTGTAAGCCCCTCTTCTCAGATCCCTACTCCCACCTGCCCCTGAGCCCCTTGTGGCGTCTACCCCATCTATCTGCCGCCACCTCTGCAAAGCTAGCCCTCACGGTTTCCCAGCCCAGCCCGTCTCCCCGTTAGTCATTCATGGTTCATGTCACAACCAATTGGGGTCGAATCGGCCTGTGACCCCTCCTGTGCTTCTCTTTCTGCGTGGCAGGCAGCTTAGTCAGAACGAGCTGAGCGGAATCATCCCAGAGAGCCTCTTTGCACTCGTGGGTCTCCATGCGCTGTAAGAATCTGGCGAGAAGCACGAGCGTTTATCGAATATTGATGAGATCACAAGGCTGCACACCATCAGGGTTAATTTTCAGCGTTTCAAAAGTCACAGTTGAAGGTTTTGGGTTAGGTTTAAGATTCCCGGTGCGCTTTTGACCTTGTGCTTGCTGAATGGGGAAGCGCACGCACATAAGGTTTGGGGAGCACTGTCTTGCGCGGTTTGATAATGCTGTGAACGTGGCTGTGACCATGCATGTGTGTGTGTGTGTGTGCGTGCGCGTGCGCGCGTGTTTGTGTGTGTGTGTGTGCGTGCGTGCGTGCACGTGCGTGCGTGCGTGTGTGTGTGTGTGTGTGTTTGTGTGCGAGTGCGTGTGTGCGTGCGTGCGTGTGTGTGTGTGCGCGTGCGTGTGTGCGTGTGTGTGTGTGTGTGTGCGCGCGCGCGTGCGTGCGTGCGTGTGTGTGTGTGTGCGTGTGTGTGTGTGTGTGCGCGCGTGCGTGCGTGCGTGCGTGTGTGTGTGCAGGTATCTCGATACGAACCAGCTCACCGGCACAATCCCCGCCGCCATTGGCGACCTTTTTGATGTAACAAGCCTGTGAGTGCTGTGCTTTGAGCCGGCTCAGAACTTTCTGATATAGTGAGCCTGTGAGTGGTGTGGTAACGATAGGTAGCCCTCATGCGAGTAATATGCAAATAGGAGTCGTCAACTTCTTGTCTGTTCTTATCTCGTGCTCTGAAGGTCTAAACATAGGCATGGCAGCCTTCAGACAGCTGTCCGGTCAAGCATGGTACCATTGTAGCTTAGCAGTTGCCAGAAGCACACACCATGCTACAGGGCAGTCCCATTCTGGTAGATACTTTTGAGATGCCTCAGAGAAGAGTTTGAGACGCCAAGCTACAGGGCAGACCTGGTCTTGTTAATACCTAATGCATACACTCAAAGAGTTTTCATTTCAGCATGCAACGCACCAGTCTTTCATGTTTTTCATGTTCCAGCATGCCGTATCCTTCACAATCACAATCACCATCACCATCACCATCACAATCAACTCCGCAATTCCTTTCACCGCTCTCATCAGGTCACTGGCGTCGAACCATCTGTATGGCTCCATTCCCAACAGCGTCACCAACATTGCTGGTGTCATCTACTTGTGAGATACACTCCCACACAGGTGCTTCCACAGGGGCATGCCTGCACTTAGTCACTCCCTCGCACGCATTCTCGAGTTTTGAGATGTCTCTAAACCCGTTCATCCACTGTCAAGTATTTAGACCTCTCAAAACCCTCGCTTATGCACTTTCGAGTTTTTAAACGTTTTACAACCTGGTCAGGGCCTAAACAAGCACTTCCCACATCACCTTCCTGCACGTCCTGCCCCGCATCCTGTAATAACATTCACATATTTGGTGCACAACACTTCCCGCATCACCTTCCTCCACTTCCTGCCCTGCATCCTGTAATAACATTCACATATTTGGTGCACAACACTTCCCACATCACCTTCCTGCACGTCCTGCCCCGCATCCTGTAATAACATTCACATATTTGGTGCACAACACTTCCCACATCACCTTCCTCCACTTCCTGCCCTGCATCCTGTAATAACATTCACATATTTGGTGCACAACACTTCCCACATCACCTTCCTCCACTTCCTGCCCTGCATCCTGTAATAACATTCACATATTTGGTGCACAACACTTCCCACATCACCTTCCTCCACGTCCTGCCCTGCATCCTGTAATAACATTCACATATTTGGTGCACAACACTTCCCACATCACCTTCCTTCACGTCCTGCACTGCATCCTGTAATAACATTCACATATTTGGTGCACAACACTTCCCACATCACCTTCCTCCACTTCCTGCCCTGCATCCTGTAATAACATTCACATATTTGGTGCACAACACTTCCCACATCACCTTCCTCCACGTCCTGCCCTGCATCCTGTAATAACATTCACATATTTGGTGCACAACACTTCCCACATCACCTTCCTCCACTTCCTGCCCTGCATCCTGTAATAACATTCACATATTTGGTGCACAACACTTCCCACATCACCTTCCTCCACTTCCTGCCCTGCATCCTGTAATAACATTCACATATTTGGTGCACAACACTTCCCACATCACCTTCCTCCACTTCCTGCCCTGCATCCTGTAATAACATTCACATATTTGGTGCACAACACTTCCCACATCACCTTCCTCCACTTCCTGCCCTGCATCCTGTAATAACATTCACATATTTGGTGCACAACACTTCCCACATCACCTTCCTCCACTTCCTGCCCCGCATCCTGTAATAACATTCACATATTTGGTGCACAACACTTCCCACATCACCTTCCTCCACGTCCTGCCCTGCATCCTGTAATAACATTCACATATTTGGTGCACAACACTTCCCACATCACCTTCCTCCACGTCCTGCCCCGCATCCTGTAATAACATTCACATATTTGGTGCACAACACTTCCCACATCACCTTCCTCCACTTCCTGCCCTGCATCCTGTAATAACATTCACATATTTGGTGCACAACACTTCCCACATCACCTTCCTCCACGTCCTGCCCTGCATCCTGTAATAACATTCACATATTTGGTGCACAACACTTCCCACATCACCTTCCTTCACGTCCTGCCCTGCATCCTGTAATAACATTCACATATTTGGTGCACAACACTTCCCACATCACCTTCCTCCACTTCCTGCCCTGCATCCTGTAATAACATTCACATATTTGGTGCACAACACTTCCCACATCACCTTCCTCCACGTCCTGCCCTGCATCCTGTAATAACATTCACATATTTGGTGCACAACACTTCCCACATCACCTTCCTCCACTTCCTGCCCTGCATCCTGTAATAACATTCACATATTTGGTGCACAACACTTCCCACATCACCTTCCTCCACTTCCTGCCCTGCATCCTGTAATAACATTCACATATTTGGTGCACAACACTTCCCACATCACCTTCCTCCACTTCCTGCCCCGCATCCTGTAATAACATTCACATATTTGGTGCACAACACTTCCCACATCACCTTCCTCCACTTCCTGCCCTGCATCCTGTAATAACATTCACATATTTGGTGCACAACACTTCCCACATCACCTTCCTCCACGTCCTGCCCTGCATCCTGTAATAACATTCACAAATTTGGTGCACAACACTTCCCACATCACCTTCCTCCACTTCCTGCCCCGCATCCTGTAATAACATTCACATATTTGGTGCACAACACTTCCCACATCACCTTCCTCCACTTCCTGCCCTGCATCCTGTAATAACATTCACATATTTGGTGCACAACACTTCCCACATCACCTTCCTCCACTTCCTGCCCTGCATCCTGTAATAACATTCACATATTTGGTGCACAACACTTCCCACATCACCTTCCTCCACGTCCTGCCCTGCATCCTGTAATAACATTCACATATTTAGTGCACAACACTTCCCACATCACCTTCCTCCACTTCCTGCCCCGCATCCTGTAATAACATTCACATATTTGGTGCACAACACTTCCCACATCACCTTCCTCCACGTCCTGCCCTGCATCCTGTAATAACATTCACATATTTGGTGCACAACACTTCCCACATCACCTTCCTCCACTTCCTGCCCCGCATCCTGTAATAACATTCACATATTTGGTGCACAACACTTCCCACATCACCTTCCTCCACGTCCTGCCCTGCATCCTGTAATAACATTCACATATTTGGTGCACAACACTTCCCACATCACCTTCCTCCACGTCCTGCCCCGCATCCTGTAATAACATTCACATATTTGGTGCACAACACTTCCCACATCACCTTCCTCCACTTCCTGCCCTGCATCCTGTAATAACATTCACATATTTGGTGCACAACACTTCCCACATCACCTTCCTCCACGTCCTGCCCTGCATCCTGTAATAACATTCACATATTTGGTGCACAACACTTCCCACATCACCTTCCTTCACGTCCTGCCCTGCATCCTGTAATAACATTCACATATTTGGTGCACAACACTTCCCACATCACCTTCCTCCACTTCCTGCCCTGCATCCTGTAATAACATTCACATATTTGGTGCACAACACTTCCCACATCACCTTCCTCCACGTCCTGCCCTGCATCCTGTAATAACATTCACATATTTGGTGCACAACACTTCCCACATCACCTTCCTCCACTTCCTGCCCTGCATCCTGTAATAACATTCACATATTTGGTGCACAACACTTCCCACATCACCTTCCTCCACTTCCTGCCCTGCATCCTGTAATAACATTCACATATTTGGTGCACAACACTTCCCACATCACCTTCCTCCACTTCCTGCCCCGCATCCTGTAATAACATTCACATATTTGGTGCACAACACTTCCCACATCACCTTCCTCCACTTCCTGCCCTGCATCCTGTAATAACATTCACATATTTGGTGCACAACACTTCCCACATCACCTTCCTCCACGTCCTGCCCTGCATCCTGTAATAACATTCACAAATTTGGTGCACAACACTTCCCACATCACCTTCCTCCACTTCCTGCCCCGCATCCTGTAATAACATTCACATATTTGGTGCACAACACTTCCCACATCACCTTCCTCCACTTCCTGCCCTGCATCCTGTAATAACATTCACATATTTGGTGCACAACACTTCCCACATCACCTTCCTCCACTTCCTGCCCTGCATCCTGTAATAACATTCACATATTTGGTGCACAACACTTCCCACATCACCTTCCTCCACGTCCTGCCCTGCATCCTGTAATAACATTCACATATTTAGTGCACAACACTTCCCACATCACCTTCCTCCACTTCCTGCCCCGCATCCTGTAATAACATTCACATATTTGGTGCACAACACTTCCCACATCACCTTCCTCCACGTCCTGCCCTGCATCCTGTAATAACATTCACATATTTGGTGCACAACACTTCCCACATCACCTTCCTCCACGTCCTGCCCTGCATCCTGTAATAACATTCACATATTTGGTGCACAACACTTCCCACATCACCTTCCTCCACTTCCTGCCCTGCATCCTGTAATAACATTCACATATTTGGTGCACAACACTTCCCACATCACCTTCCTCCACTTCCTGCCCCGCATCCTGTAATAACATTCACATATTTGGTGCACAACACTTCCCACATCACCTTCCTCCACTTCCTGCCCTGCATCCTGTAATAACATTCACATATTTGGTGCACAACACTTCCCACATCACCTTCCTCCACTTCCTGCCCTGCATCCTGTAATAACATTCACATATTTGGTGCACAACACTTCCCACATCACCTTCCTCCACTTCCTGCCCTGCATCCTGTAATAACATTCACATATTTGGTGCACAACACTTCCCACATCACCTTCCTCCACTTCCTGCCCTGCATCCTGTAATAACATTCACATATTTGGTGCACAACACTTCCCACGTCACCTTCCTCCACTTCCCTTTTCTCCCCCATTCCCTCCGGTCCCCCTCCCACTCCCTGGTCCCGCAGCTTTCTATACCAAAACTACCTCACAGGGCCCGTAGTGAAGCCATGGGGTGCGTATGCAGATCTCTCCAATAACTACCTCTCGGGGGAGTTAGAAGCGAGCCCTTTCCCTGGAATGGAGAGTGACGACGCGCTCGGTGCCAACTGTCTCACTGCACCTGAGGGGGTCTCGTTGGGCCCGCAACGGCCCGAGGCAGCCTGCCGGGCATTCTGTGGCATCTCCATGCGCTCTGCTGGTGGTGATGGTGGTGGTGCTGGTGCTGGTGGTGTTGCTTGTGGCGGGCGTGGGCTGTGCTATCCTGATGGGCCTAGTTTGGCGCCAACCTGCTCGTGCAAAGCGGGGTTCGTTCAGTTTGCAAGCATCTACTGCCTTGAGGAAGGTGAGAGAGAGTTGCAAGTGCAAGGGTACCTGTATCGTTTATTGTTATGTGTAGAGATACCAGCCCCATCCTTGTTTTTGTTGACGGGAGTTGGCCCCGCCCTTGCTTGGGCGAAGCCGAATTTATGGTCGGGTGCGCAAAAGGTGCAGCCGACTGCTCTTTGTGGTCGACGCCGACTAAGGCGAGGAAGTCGACCGGTTAGGTTGACTTTCACGGGACAACTGCGAAGCCGCCGACGAGGAAAAGTCGGCAGCCGACTTCGACAAGAGTGGTCAACGAAGGGGTTCGTCGACCTGCGGGGACGCCGACTTGGTGAAGTCGGCGGGTGGTATCGACCTGGGCGATTGATAAGCACACACATCAGTTTGCGGGCTTCTACCGCTAAGTCGGCACCGTCTTGGCGGTTTTTTAGTCGACCAAGTAACCAGGGCGACGAAATCTTGCAAAAGAGCGCGGACATCGCTTAGGAGGTTTTGACGAAGCCGACCTCAGGCTGATATCCCGAGATCGACTTAGGCGCAACCGTCGGCACGTGGCCGACTTGGCAGCTGCGCGTATGCGTGGCGGTGCACGTCGTGCCCAACCGTCTACAAGCACCTGCGAAGTAGGTGCGCGCACACGCAACTACAATCGCATGCGGTTGCAACTCTGGCAAGCCGCCTTGCTGCAGCGTTGGCAAGCCACCTTGCAGCAGCGCTGGCAGATCGCTGACTTGCAATGCTGGCAAGCCGCCATCGAGCTGCGTTGGCAGGCCGCCGACTTGATGCGCTGGCAGTCGACCTGCCTGTCTGCTAGGTTGCCTATCAGCAGTAGTCATTTGTTGCCTAACATTCTTCCATCATTGTTCTCAATTTTTGTTAGTGAAACTCTTGCCGTTTTGCCCTGTGAACGCACAGGTGTTAGAGAACACAAACACACGCTACGTTCACTCACCACCCGTGCTTTCCCTGTAGTCTAGCTCCCACCGGTGCAGAGTGACTCTCCGCAGATTGCGCTTTCTGGAGTTGTCTTTCCCATCCTTCCCACATTTTTAGGCTCGCCATTCGCCTCCCACTCCTCTCTTCATACTCTCATCCACTCCCATTCTCTCGACCACTCCCGTTCCTTTCCTTTATTTCAACCTTCCTTTACTTCCTCCCCTCCCTCCCCGGTATCTTCTTACCCATCCTTCGCACTCCCATGCAGGCTCGGATCTAACCTCCCCGCTGGACACGAATATTCTCCCGCCAGCAACCGTGCTCACTAAGGGAACAAGGAAGGAAACCAAAGGGGCCTTTACAAAAGAGCCAGTCACCCTGTTCGTGTTTGAGAAAGGCCAAGAGGACGAAGGGTGTGGGTTCGAGCTGGGATTTAGTGTCAACTTCACCTTTGCCCTTTCACCCCAAGGCAAGGCCGCTTCCAATGGCTTTGCGTTTGTGGTGTCGGCAACAGCCACGGTGGGGAGCAGCGATGGAGTGGGGTACGGCAGGATGGATTCTCGCAGCATGGCGATCGAGTTTGACGTGCTTCAGAACATCCAGCACGGCGACATGAAAGAGCAGCACGTGGGGCTGAATATCAACGGGCAGGACAAATCGATGGCTGCTGTGAAAGCACCATTCATGCTGACCAACAAGCAGGTGAACACGGCATGGGTGGACTACGAGCCTGGACTTTCCGGCACCATCCGGGTCTTCCTGGCTAAGGGGGCAGTGACGAGGGCTGGGAAGCCAGAGAAGCCGCTGCTGGAGAGGCGGCTGTTGCTGTGTGAGGTGCTGCGGGGAGGGGAGGAGGCGCAGCTGCAGGCGTTCTACTTTGGCTTCGTGGCGTCCACCACAGTCAAGCCGTTTATGAGCCAAGTCATTTTCAAGTCTGCCATGCATGCAGGTAGCAACATGTCCATATGTTGCCACTGCCACTGCCACTGCCATGCAGCACAGTGCACACCCTGTGCCGCTGCTCATCGCTCCTTTCGCTTGGAGCAACCCCTTTTTCATCGTCCCTGCACGCGAGAAGCTTAGCTCTAGAATAAGCCATCCTGCTTGGCGAGAGGGTGAAAGAGCGTGACAGCAGGTTGATGGATGTCAAACACCTGCTTGGAAGCATCTGTCCACCCCAGAAACCTTTTCTTCGGTTCCAAACCTTGTTTTCTGTTCCGTCCCGCACAGACATTCCACCACCACGGGCGCCAGTTGATGTCACTCCAGGCAAGGAACCTCTCACCGTTCTCCCTTGTCCCGTGCCCCTTGTCATTGATTGCTGTAAGAATGCTCTGTTGCTTGGGTAGAAGAATCCTCTGTGTCCTTGGCTTTGATGTCGGCTACTCCGGTGGCTCCAAGCAACTTATGAGACATCTCAAAGGTTGCCTCTGTATCCTTGGCTTTTATATCCGCTGCTCCAGTTGCTCCAAACAGTCTATTTCCTTCCTTTTACGTCAGTGTTGTGAACCCTTTGCTGTAGCACTTCATTGCTGAGTTAATGGTTGGTGCTGATTTAGGTGGTGAGAAGCCTTAAGTTCACTGAGTAGCAGCCTGCCTGCCCTGCGTTGCCTCCCCTGCTGCCTGTCAGCAGGTAGCACCCTCCTGCGTCTCCGTGTTTCTCGTATTCTCCTCCTGGCGAGCTCTCTCTAAACTGTGTCTGGTCTTTGCTTAACACATTGAAGCATCTTCCAGGCTGCTCACTCCTGCCACTTCGCCACCCACTCCTCTCCCCCCTATACTCTGAAAATCTCCCTCTCTCTCTCTCACTACTCCTTACAACACTTGCTCCCACTCAGCCTTGGGTCTGAACGTCACAGTGGACACGTATGCGCCGGTACGAGCGAGCCCGTTCTCACGATATGTGAGTGCGGACTACCGATATTCGGCTGGGAAGCAGGACTCGTGGGTCTTCAGGGACCTCTACTCCTGGGACTCCGTGCCCTTCCTCGGCTGGCCTGTCAAGAACCAGGACGCTTGCAGTGAGTGCCTGGAGGAGGGGTTTTGAGGCGCCTAGATTCAAAGGACGCATGCAGTGAGTGCGTGTGCGACCAGGGGGGCGACTAACAATGCGCGTGGGGCAAGGCAGCCTTGTAACTATCAGTGGTTTCATGAGCATGTTTCGCATCTTTGTTATCACCTGGTTTTTTGTTTGCTTCCTTCCTTTTCTCGTTTATCCGTGCTTGAGCTCCTTTGGTTGAGCTTGCAAGTTTCCACTTCCATTCAAACTTACCATCCTCATCTGTCCTTTTCCTCTCTCTCCGCCAGGCGCGTGCTGGGCGTATGCAGTGGTGGCGAGCATAGAAGCAGCATACGGCATTGCAACAAAGGGAGAGGCGCCGCAGCTGTCAGTGGACTCGCTCTTTGCAGCCATGGGGCTCACCTCTCAAGCAGACAAGTGCGCCGCTGGGGGCTCCCCGACAGACGCCTTTGAGAAGCTGCTCGCCCTGACCAAAGGGGGACTCACCCTGGCCGACAATCCGGTATGCCAAACAAGCATGCTGGGAAGGCGTAAAGCATTTGCAGGTTAGCGTATTTACGCTAGTACGCTCTACTTTTGAGTATGTTCAACTTCGTGCGAGCTGCCCAAAAGCAAAAAAAAAAAAAAAATCATCAACAACAATAACAACGAAGCGTGCGAATTCTGGTTTGGAGAAGCGACTAAGCTTAGGGCGTGTAAAGTGGGAACGACCAATCCCAATGGTTTCCCATTTGAGTATTTCTTGCGATTGCGAAGTATTGAGGGTAAGGCAAACAGATGGGCACCGAAACTCAATGGTAGTTCCCGTATAAGAATCACCCGTTCACCTGCATTTATGAATCGCAGGGAAAGAAGTACCCCATCCAGGGATTTGAGCGCACATCATTCAAGGGGTATGTTGGGCTCATGTTGGCAGTGCAGCGGCAGCCAGTGGTGGTTCACATCGAAGCCTCTGCTGCCACGTTCGCAACGTATGACGGGGTGAGTGGTGGAGGGCTGTATTTGTATCACTCATTTTCTGCCATGGGGTGGATGGATATGTAGTAAATGAATGGTGCATGGTGGATGGATGGTGCATGGTGGATGGATGATGCATGGTGGATGGATGATGCATGGTGCATGGATCATGCACGGTGGATGGATGATGCATGGAATGGACTATTCATGTGATATATTATGTATGTCATGGATTATGCATGTGATGGGTGATGTATGTTGTGAATCATGCATGTAATGAATGATGCATGTGATGGGTGATGTATGTAATGAATCATGCATGTGATGAATCATGCATGTGATGAATCATGCATGTGATGAATCATGCATGTGATGGCTGCTAATACACTTTCACATTCCTACTTCCATCGTTCTTCTTATCTCTCCCTCTGGTCTGTCTGCCAGACGTTCAAGTACCAGGACCCTGCGTGCTACAGCGGCAACCTGAACCACGTGGTGCTTGTGGTGGGATATTTCATTCTCCGAGACGATGGCAGTCAGAGCCGCATTGCTCCGCCGTTTTGGATCATCCGCAACTCGTGGGGCGAGGGCTGGGGAGATAGGGGCCACATGCGCATGGAAATTCAGGGAGGTGATGGCGTGTGTGGCATCAACGTGCTGCCTGGCATCTACCCCATTGTCAAGAGTGAGACACCTACCCCATTGTAAAGATGAAACCTGTCCACCTCTCCTAGAACTCAGCCATCCTCAAGAGAGTGAGCGGCACTATTCATTAAAGAGAGTGAGCGGCACTATATATTAAAGAGAGTGAGCAGCACTAGAGATTTCAAGATGAACTCTCACTGATCAGGCGGCCAGAAACTTGTCGTCCATTTTCGCCCAATCAATTCCATGAACCTCTCAGTCTCATTCTCACCCTATTCTCAATCAATGCCTTGCATCTCATTCCCCGCGCGCCCTGCCCTCGTTGTCCTCGCAGTCCCGGGGGATCCGTGTGGCACCAAGAGCTACAGGGGCGATTTGGACCCACAACCCAGCATGAACCCGTGTGGCCGATTCACCTGCAAGCCCAATGCCAAGGCCAACAGCAACACGTGCACCTGCTCGATCCCCTCTGCGCCCAAGCAGCCCTTCATGGAAGCAGCCAACGGCTATGGCAACACCTGCGCCTATGGTGAGACACACATACCCATGGTCGTCTTTTGGGGCGCCTCAAAAAGTCCCCTCTGCGCCCAGGCGGCCTTTCGTGTAGGTTGCCATGGCTGCGGCAATGCATGCGCTAATGGTGAGATAGGTAGACCCATGCAATGCAATGCAGTGACTGACATGGTTCTGTGCATGGTTAGGGTTTAGGGTATCTGTATAGTATGACCAGGACCCACATTTTCCTCTGCCCATGCAATGCAATCGTCCCGTGCAAAGACCGGTACTCGCCTTTTTTCCTTTCATCCCCTCCACCGTGCACTACCGGTGGCACTCGATGCGTGTGGTTTGTGCATTAGGCACCGCTTTAGCCTTTAGCCCACTCCTCATCCCCCTCCACCACCCTCCTTTTACCATGCATGGCAGTGGACGTGTCACGTGTGTGGGTCATACTTGAAGCATAATTCAGCCTTTAGCCCCCCTTCGTTCTCCTGTTCCACCCCAATTACCCGGTATGGCAGTGGACGTGTGCGGGTCGTACTTGAAGCATCTCTTAGCCTTTAGCCCCCCCCTCATCCTCCACTGTCGCCCCTCTTACCCTGCATAGCAGTGGACGTGTGTGGGCCATACTTGATATTTGCCTTCATCCCCCCCATCATCCCCCTCTACCCGTCATGGCAGTGGACGTGTGTGGGTCGTACTTCAAGAACCCCTGTGCCGTGGGCACATGCATCAACGATGGCAAGGGCTCCTACTCCTGCATCTGCCCTCCCAACCACGTCCCCAGCCGAACCATCGATGACTTCCCCACCTGCGACCCAGGTACAGGCAAACACTGCTCGTTCCCCACCTGCGACCCAGGTGCGGTTCCAGTGCTGCTCCCTCCCCCCCCACTTGCCACCCATGTGCTGTCAGTGGCTGCTCCCTCCCACCTGCCGCCCACTTGCACCTCTAAACCGACTCTTCCGACTCCTTGCTAGAACAAGGCTCGCTCTAGCCTCTGGCCTTCTGCTGCTGCACTGCACCTAAGCACCGCTGTCCTCCTCCTTTCATGACAATGGTGCCATGGTCAGAAATGCCAAGTCACACGCCCGCTTCCATCTTTCAGTTGGAGTTGGAGTGCAATGCGACAATGCCAACTCTCTCTGTCTCGCACCAGCCCTATTTTGCACTAAACGATGCCTTCAACGCGCAACTCCTCTCTTAGTGCCATTTTCATGACTTGCAGGGTGCTTTCGAGACTGGACAAAGAAAACCTCATAAGGGTATCTCTCGTGCGCGCTGGTGCACAATATGCACACGCAACTGATCTCCCTCCCCGCACAACTGCCCTGCCCCCTGTTTCCACCATACCACTCTCTCCCCTCCTCCCAGCCAACGAAACGGTCACGAGCCTGACAGTGAGCGGTGACAAGTGGGCGTGCGCGGACGTGTCTGGCCTCGTGGGGCTCTCCTCCTCGCAGTTCGCCCTGCAGAACCCGGTGAGAGGCTGGCAAGAGGGGCAGGTGAAGAATGGGAGGCGAGAATGGGAGGCGAGAATGGGAGGCGAGAATGGGAGGCGAGAATGGGAGGCGAGAATGGGAGGCGAGAATGGGAGGCGAGAATGGGAGGCGAGAATGGGAGGCGAGAATGGGAGGCGAGAATGGGAGGCGAGAATGGGAGGCGAGAATGGGAGGCGAGAATGGGAGGCGAGAATGGGAGGCGAGAATGGGAGGCGAGAATGGGAGGCGAGAATGGGAGGCGAGAATGGGAGGCGAGAATGGGAGGCGAGAATGGGAGGCGAGAATGGGAGGCGAGAATGGGAGGCGAGAATGGGAGGCGAGAATGGGAGGCGAGAATGGGAGGCGAGAATGGGAGGCGAGAATGGGAGGCGAGAATGGGAGGCGAGAATGGGAGGCGAGAATGGGAGGCGAGAATGGGAGGCGAGAATGGGAGGCGAGAATGGGAGGCGAGAATGGGAGGCGAGAATGGGAGGCGAGAATGGGAGGCGAGAATGGGAGGCGAGAATGGGAGGCGAGAATGGGAGGCGAGAATGGGAGGCGAGAATGGGAGGCGAGAATGGGAGGCGAGAATGGGAGGCGAGAATGGGAGGCGAGAATGGGAGGCGAGAATGGGAGGCGAGAATGGGAGGCGAGAATGGGAGGCGAGAATGGGAGGCGAGAATGGGAGGCGAGAATGGGAGGCGAGAATGGGAGGCGAGAATGGGAGGCGAGAATGGGAGGCGAGAATGGGAGGCGAGAATGGGAGGCGAGAATGGGAGGCGAGAATGGGAGGCGAGAATGGGAGGCGAGAATGGGAGGCGAGAATGGGAGGCGAGAATGGGAGGCGAGAATGGGAGGCGAGAATGGGAGGCGAGAATGGGAGGCGAGAATGGGAGGCGAGAATGGGAGGCGAGAATGGGAGGCGAGAATGGGAGGCGAGAATGGGAAGGCGAGAATGGAGGCGAGAATGGGAGGCGAGAATGGGAGGCGAGAATGGGAGGCGAGAATGGGAGGCGAGAATGGGAGGCGAGAATGGGAGGCGAGAATGGGAGGCGAGAATGGGAGGCGAGAATGGGAGGCGAGAATGGGAGGCGAGAATGGGAGGCGAGAATGGGAGGCGAGAATGGGAGGCGAGAATGGGAGGCGAGAATGGGAGGCGAGAATGGGAGGCGAGAATGGGAGGCGAGAATGGGAGGCGAGAATGGGAGGCGAGAATGGGAGGCGAGAATGGGAGGCCGAGAATGGGAGGCGAGAATGGGAGGCGAGAATGGGAGGCGAGAATGGGAGGCGAGAATGGGAGGCGAGAATGGGAGGCGAGGAATGGGAGGCGAGAATGGGAGGCGAGAATGGGAGGCGAGAATGGGAGGCGAGAATGGGAGGCGAGAATGGGAGGCGAGAATGGGAGGCGAGAATGGGAGGCGAGAATGGGAGGCGAGAATGGGAGGCGAGAATGGGAGGCGAGAATGGGAGGCGAGAATGGGAGGCGAGGAATGGGAGGCGAGAATGGGAGGCGAGAATGGGAGGCGAGAATGGGAGGCGAGAATGGGAGGCGAGAATGGGAGGCGAGAATGGGAGGCGAGAATGGGAGGCGAGAATGGGAGGCGAGAATGGGAGGCGAGAATGGGAGGCGAGAATGGGAGGCGAGAATGGGAGGCGAGAATGGGAGGCGAGAATGGGAGGCGAGAATGGGAGGCGAGAATGGGAGGCGAGAATGGGAGGCGAGAATGGGAGGCGAGAATGGGAGGCGAGAATGGGAGGCGAGAATGGGAGGCGAGAATGGGAGGCGAGAATGGGAGGCGAGAATGGGAGGCGAGAATGGGAGGCGAGAATGGGAGGCGAGAATGGGAGGCGAGAATGGGGGCGAGAAGGGGGCGAGAATGGGAGGCGAGAATGGGAGGCGAGAATGGGAGGCGAGAATGGGAGGCGAGAATGGGAGGCGAGAATGGGAGGCGAGAATGGGAGGCGAGAATGGGAGGCGAGAATGGGAGGCGAGAATGGGAGGCGAGAATGGGAGGCGAGAATGGGAGGCGAGAATGGGAGGCGAGAATGGGAGGCGAGAATGGGAGGCGAGAATGGGAGGCGAGAATGGGAGGCGAGAATGGGAGGCGAGAATGGAGGCGAGAATGGGAGCGAGATGGGAGGCGAGAATGGGAGGCGAGAATGGGAGGCGAGAATGGGAGGCGAGAATGGGAGGCGAGAATGGGAGGCGAGAATGGGAGGCGAGAATGGGAGGCGAGAATGGGAGGCGAGAAATGGGAGGGCGAGAATGGGAGGCGAGAATGGGAGGCGAGAATGGGAGGCGAGAATGGGAGGCGAGAATGGGAGGCGAGAATGGGAGGCGAGAATGGGAGGCGAGAATGGGAGGCGAGAATGGGAGGCGAGAATGGGAGGCGAGAATGGGAGGCGAGAATGGGAGGCGAGAATGGGAGGCGAGAATGGGAGGCGAGAATGGGAGGCGAGAATGGGAGGCGAGAATGGGAGGCGAGAATGGGAGGCGAGAATGGGAGGCGAGAATGGGAGGCGAGAATGGGAGGCGAGAATGGGAGGCGAGAATGGGAGGCGAGAATGGGAGGCGAGAATGGGAGGCGAGAATGGGAGGCGAGAATGGGAGGCGAGAATGGGAGGCGAGAATGGGAGGCGAGAATGGGAGGCGAGAATGGGAGGCGAGAATGGGAGGCGAGAATGGGAGGCGAGAATGGGAGGCGAGAATGGGAGGCGAGAATGGGAGGCGAGAATGGGAGGCGAGAATGGGAGGCGAGAATGGGAGGCGAGAATGGGAGGCGAGAATGGGAGGCGAGAATGGGAGGCGAGAATGGGAGGCGAGAATGGGAGGCGAGAATGGGAGGCGAGAATGGGAGGCGAGAATGGGAGGCGAGAATGGGAGGCGAGGATGGGAGGCGAGGATGGGAGGCGAGGATGGGAGGCGAGGATGGGAGGCGAATGGGAGGCGAGAATGGGAGGCGAGAATGGGAGGCGAGAATGGGAGGCGAGAATGGGAGGCGAGAATGGGAGGCGAGAATGGGAGGCGAGAATGGGAGGCGAGAATGGGAGGCGAGAATGGGAGGCGAGAATGGGAGGCGAGAATGGGAGGCGAGAATGGGAGGCGAGAATGGGAGGCGAGAATGGGAGGCGAGAATGGGAGGCGAGAATGGGAGGCGAGAATGGGAGGCGAGAATGGGAGGCGAGAATGGGAGGCGAGAATGGGAGGCGAGAATGGGAGGCGAGAATGGGAGGCGAGAATGGGAGGCGAGAATGGGAGGCGAGAATGGGAGGCGAGAATGGGAGGCGAGAATGGGAGGCGAGAATGGGAGGCGAGAATGGGAGGCGAGAATGGGAGGCGAGAATGGGAGGCGAGAATGGGAGGCGAGAATGGGAGGCGAGAATGGGAGGCGAGAATGGGAGGCGAGAATGGGAGGCGAGAATGGGAGGCGAGAATGGGAGGCGAGAATGGGAGGCGAGAATGGGAGGCGAGAATGGGAGGCGAGAATGGGAGGCGAGAATGGGAGGCGAGAATGGGAGGCGAGAATGGGAGGCGAGAATGGGAGGCGAGAATGGGAGGCGAGAATGGGAGGCGAGAATGGGAGGCGAGAATGGGAGGCGAGAATGGGAGGCGAGAATGGGAGGCGAGAATGGGAGGCGAGAATGGGAGGCGAGAATGGGAGGCGAGAATGGGAGGCGAGAATGGAGGCGAGAATGGGAGGCGAGAATGGGAGGCGAGAATGGGAGGCGAGAATGGGAGGCGAGAATGGGAGGCGAGAATGGGAGGCGAGAATGGGAGGCGAGAATGGGAGGCGAGAATGGGAGGCGAGAATGGGAGGCGAGAATGGGAGGCGAGAATGGGAGGCGAGAATGGGAGGCGAGAATGGGAGGCGAGAATGGGAGGCGAGAATGGGAGGCGAGAATGGGAGGCGAGAATGGGAGGCGAGAATGGGAGGCGAGAATGGGAGGCGAGAATGGGAGGCGAGAATGGGAGGCGAGAATGGGAGGCGAATGGGAGGCGAGAATGGGAGGCGAGAATGGGAGGCGAGAATGGGAGCGAGAATGGGAGGCGAGAATGGGAGGCGAGAATGGGAGGCGAGAATGGGAGGCGAGAATGGGAGGCGAGAATGGGAGGCGAGAATGGGAGGCGAGAATGGGAGGCGAGAATGGGAGGCGAGGAATGGGAGGCGAGAAATGGAGGCGAGAATGGGAGGGCAAATGGGAGCGAGAATGGGAGGCGAGAATGGGAGGCGGAGAATGGGAGCGAGAATGGGAGGCGGAGAATGGGAGGCGAGAATGGGAGGCGAGAGAGATGGGAGGGCGAGAATGGGAGGCGAGAATGGGAGGCCGAGAATGGGAGGCGAGACATGGGAGGCGAGAATGGGAGGCGAGAATGGGAGGCGAGAATGGGAGGGCGGAGATGGGAGGCGAGAATGGGAGGCGAGAATGGGAGGCGAGAATGGGAGGCGTAGAATGTGAGGCGGAGAATGGGAGGCGAGAATGGGAGGCGAGAATGGGAGGCGAGAATGGGAGGCGAGTATGGTAGGCGAGAAGGGGAGGCGAGAATGGGAGGGCGAGAATGGAGAGGCGAGAATGGGAGGCGAGAATGGGAGGCGAGAATGGGAGGCGAGAATGGGAGGCGAGAATGGGAGGCGAGAATGGGAGGCGAGAATGGGAGGCGAGAATGGGAGGCGAGAATGGGAGGCGAGAATGGGAGGCGAGAATGGGAGGCGAGAATGGGAGGCGAGAATGGGAGGCGAGAATGGGAGGCGAGAATGGGAGGCGAGAATGGGAGGCGAGAATGGGAGGCGAGAATGGGAGGCGAGAATGGGAGGCGAGAATGGGAGGCGAGAATGGGAGGCGAGAATGGGAGGCGAGAATGGGAGGCGAGAATGGGAGGCGAGAATGGGAGGCGAGAATGGGAGGCGAGAATGGGAGGCGAGAATGGGAGGCGAGAATGGGAGGCGAGAATGGGAGGCGAGAATGGGAGGCGAGAATGGGAGGCGAGGAATGGGAGGCGAGAATGGGAGGCGAGAATGGGAGGCGAGAATGGGAGGCGAGAATGGGAGGCGAGAATGGGAGGCGAGAATGGGAGGCGAGAATGGGAGGCGAGAATGGGAGGCGAGAATGGGAGGCGAGAATGGGAGGCGAGGAATGGGAGGCGAGGATGGGAGGCGAGGATGGGAGGCGAGAATGGGAGGCGAGAATGGGAGGCGAGAATGGGAGGCGAGAATGGGAGGCGAGAATGGGAGGCGAGAATGGGAGGCGAGAATGGGAGGCGAGAATGGGAGGCGAGAATGGGAGGCGAGAATGGGAGGCGAGAATGGGAGGCGAGAATGGGAGGCGAGAATGGGAGGCGAGAATGGGAGGCGAGAATGGGAGGCGAGAATGGGAGGCGAGAATGGGAGGCGAGAATGGGAGGCGAGAATGGGAGGCGAGAATGGGAGGCGAGAATGGGAGGCGAGAATGGGAGGCGAGAATGGGAGGCGAGAATGGGAGGCGAGAATGGGAGGCGAGAATGGGAGGCGAGAATGGGAGGCGAGAATGGGAGGCGAGAATGGGAGGCGAGAATGGAATGGGAGGCGAGAATGGGAGGCGAGAATGGGAGGCGAGAATGGGAGGCGAGAATGGGAGGCGAGAATGGGAGGCGAGAATGGGAGGCGAGAATGGGAGGCGAGAATGGGAGGCGAGAATGGAGGCGAGAATGGGAGGCGAGAATGGGAGGCGAGGAATGGGAGGCGAGGAATGGGAGGCGAGGATGGGAGGCGAGGAATGGGAGGCGAGAATGGGAGGGCGAGAATGGGAGGCGAGAATGGGAGGCGAGAATGGGAGGCGAGAATGGGAGGCGAGAATGGGAGGCGAGAATGGGGAGGCGAGAATGGAGGCGAGAATGGGAGGCGAGAATGGGAGGCGAGAATGGGAGGCGAGAATGGGAGGCGAGAATGGGAGGCGAGAATGGGAGGCGAGAATGGGAGGCGAGAATGGGAGGCGAGAATGGGAGGCGAGAATGGGAGGCGAGAATGGGAGGCGAGAATGGGAGGCGAGAATGGGAGGCGAGAATGGGAGGCGAGAATGGGAGGCGAGAATGGGAGGCGAGAATGGGAGGCGAGAATGGGAGGCGAGAATGGAGGCGAGAATGGGAGGCGAGAATGGGAGGCGAGAATGGGAGGCGAGAATGGGAGGCGAGAATGGGAGGCGAGAATGGGAGGCGAGAATGGGAGGCGAGAATGGGAGGCGAGAATGGGAGGCGAGAATGGGAGGCGAGAATGGGAGGCGAGGATGGGAGGCGAGAATGGGAGGCGAGGATGGGAGGCGAGGATGGGAGGCGAGAATGGGACAGCATGCATGACGGGCAGCACGCAGGGCACAAGCAGGACTAGGGCTTTTGCCCGTGGCAGGAGATTGAGTTGCCATGCCCAATTTATGCCCATGCCCATGCCCGTGCCCATGCCCATGCCTGTGCTCTCCAATGCAGGGTATCGTCTGCTCCCAGCCATTGCCCAAAGGGGCGGTGCTTCAGATCGCCGGCACTCCGGCCATCCCCTGCACGGGATTCTTCTACACCCTCGATGTGAGACCTCAGTTCCCAGCCCAATATCAGCACCCATCTCTGTGCACAAAGTGTGTTTCAAGTAGTGGGGGATGAGTTTTTTTCTCAGAAGTTCCGAGCCATGCACTTGTTCTTTCTTTTGCCTTCGAGGTATGGATCGGAAGCTGGTCTCTCCATGCAGCCTCGCTGCCTTGTTTTCCAGCTGCTCACATCAGCTGCTCACATCAGCTGCTCACATCAGCTGCTCGCATCAGCTGCTCACATCAGCATTGCACATGCATCTCATGCTTCTATCATCACCACGAACTCACTACTGAAGAGAAGCCTTACACCACATCCCGCCCTCTCCTACCATCTCTCTCCATCTCCTACCATCTCTCTCCATCTCCCACCATCTCACACCCTATCTCATCTCTTCTCTGCCTGTCTCCCTCTCTCTCTCGTCCCACCAGGGCGACAAGTGTCAGTCCACCTCTTCAATGGAATCACCAAAGCCAAACTCATGGCTCTCAACCCCCGCCTTGACTTGAGTTTTGAGGCGCCTCAAAACTCATATCTTCTCTGCCTGTCTCCCTCTCTCTCTCTCTCCCCACCAGGGCGACAAGTGTCTGTCAATCGCCTCTTCAATGGATATCACCAAAGCCAAACTCATGGCTCTCAACCCCGGTCTAGACTGCACCCAGACCATCAAGCCCGGCCGCTCTATCTGTGTGGAGCGCAACGCCAGCTATGTCTACACAGCCCCCAAGTGTGTCAAGTACGCCACTCTCACAGCGCAGGACACGTGTGAGCGCCTGCTAAAGGGGTCAGGAAGCGAGAAGGTCGAGCCCTTCTCTTGGGCTGAGCTCTACCGCAACAACCCCGGCCTTGTCTGCTCCAACACCATCCCTGGCTCTGTCTCGGCTGTTGGCAGCAACATTGGCGTGCAGGTGAGGGGCGTAAGGTGGTGGAGGGAGGGAAGAAGGGGGAGAGGAACTGGTGGAAAATTGAGGGGTAGAAACAGGTGGAAGGGAGCGAGGAAGAGGGAGTGGAGGGGCATTGCGTGAGTGAGTGAGTGAGTGAGTGAGTTTGGTAGCAGAGGGGCTTAGGTCGAGTGCATCAATTTCAGGCTAAGGCTATAATGCATTATATGTATCCTTGTTTATTGAAGCTTTGCTTTGTCTTCCATCCCTTCTCCGAGCATTCTTTTCCTCCCTGCGCCTGCTTCTTTGCTACCCCAGGTGTGCCTCAGGGCAGAGTACTGGTCGTTTCAGCTTGGCAAGTGCACCAAGGGCCGGGCCCGGTCGGTGTCGCCATCGCTCACGTGTTCCGGTGCTTACCGCTTCTATGCCAACGCTGGAACTATGAGCCGGGACGATGCATTTCAGGTTTACAACGGAGAGAGATGTGCCAGCACGGTTGGAGGCAATTTTATCTGTGTGCCAAGATAAAAGGCCATGTCATGGCTTCTAAACATACGGTACGCTTTTCTTGTAGCAAATAGTGCACTGCACAGATTGGATTCTGACAGCCCACCCCTTTACAGACTTACTGCAGCACGTTATTAACAGAACATGGATTGTCGACCGTCCATACCCCCATCATGCATACGTACCAAACCTGCAGCAGCAAGGGTGGTAGTTTGATGGAGGAGTAAGGTGTGTTCTGTTTTTGGCTTCACACTTTGGCTCTGCTCACGGGCTGTGCACATCAGCTGTACATATTGGGTAGCTCCATTCACATACCTACAAGTTACAACTTGCTGTCCTGTATAAATATATCGCCAATCTAATAAACTGCAGTGTTGACCTTGTGTTTCGTGAAAAAATAAGGTGTTCGATAATTAGCACCCCCGCTTATGAGCTTTGCGCTCACTGAGGAAGAAATACCCTAATTCTGCTACCTACCGTACATTAGATTAGTAGCAATCCAGCCGTTGGCGTCCAGAGTTTTGGTTCAACAATACCAATAAGCATACGGCACGACCGCGGTAACGCGGCACACTCATTGTGCAACCTGCCACTTTCATTCTAAGCACACCTGTGTACCCGGGCAATGACGATACTGCTGACCATTTGGGCCGTGGTGGAGCTTTTTGTCCACCTTCCACCCCACACTCTCAAATTGTGAGGGCTACTGTATCATAATCTGACGTAGGAAAGTGAAAAATAGGAAGTAACAAAAAAACTCACACCGCTTGAATTCAATCTGATAGAAGGCCTTTTGTACGGTATGAACTCATCTAGGGAAAACCTTATGGGGGAATACCGTCATCGCCCGGATGTAAGACTGTCGAATTGAAGACGGGGTGTCTTTAAAACGGGTGTATCTTATAAATGGGTGTTCCTGATTATAAGACACCTGTCGGTGTGTACGAGTTAAGCCAGTGTAGGGGTTAGGGGTAATCTTATGACGAGGGGGTATCTTCTAAACGGTTCTTTGTCCATTATAAGAATTATAAGACACCCTAAACCACCCCAATTACAAGACAACCCAAGCATTTTTTCTAGTGTATAAGATAAGACATATATGTCGTATATCCGGGCGATGACGGTACCGTACCATGCAGCAATACTGGAGTGTGTAGCCACACTGCCAAGCTTAGTGAGACCAGTTGGCTTGGCAGGACCCGACCTCACATAACATCACATCACATCAAATCACATCACATCACATCACATCACATCACATCACATCACATCACATCATATCACATCACATCACATCACATCACATCACATCACATCACATCACATCACATCACATCACAACCACTTTATAATTGTTCCAAGCCAAGACCATCCCTTCAATGACCTCATCCCATGCCATGCCATGCCATGCCATTACAAAGTCGACCCGCTGCGAGTGAACTGGCTCTGCCTCAGCTCCCTCAGCTGCTCATCCAATGAATCCCCAAGCCCCGCCGAACCCTTCTCGCCCGCCTCTCGTTCCCCACGACCATCGTCCGACCCATCAGAATCAGCGGCAGCACCAGCGGCAGCGGCAGCAGCAGCGCCATCAGCAGCGGCAGGGTCGGTGGCAAGGCCGTCCCCGGTGGGGGTGGTGGAGGAGTAGGTGATGTGAGAGACATCGTAGTGCATAGAGGGGTTGCTGTCGGACCCGTGGAGTGTGGAGGAGGACACCCCGATGTTGCGCTGCATGCTCCACTCCACTCCCTGCACGGCAGCACGGGCGCAGGGGCAAAGGAGTGAGGAAGGAAGGGGGAAAGTGAGATCTTTGAGGCGCCTCAAAAAGTCCACCCCACGATAAGCTGCATGGTTTAACCCCACGTGATCAAAGTGATATTTTGTCCCATGAGACGTCTCAAAACATCACTTTTATCACTTGGCGCCTCAAAAGTCACTCCCATGATGAGTTGCATGGTTTACCCCATGCACTGGACAGGAGTGCGGGCACAGGAGCAAGGGGATTGCAGAGGAAACAACAACACGAGATCAGGAAGCAGCTTCAGTTTTAAGGCGCTTCAGCACGAGCATCCTTCCACTCCGTTACAAAAGCATCAGTTTGAAGAGATTTGGGCAAGTGGGGAAAGGGGGATGGTTGGGATGGGAGGGCAGCAGGAAGGAGCAGCACAGAAGAGAGGAGGAGGAGGAGGAGGAGGAGGAGGAGGAGGAGGAGGAGGAGGAGGAGGAGGAGGAGGAGGAGGAGGAGGAGGAGGAGGAGGAGGAGGCCCCCTCCCATCCTGATCTACCCCCCTATCCGCCGCATCCCAGTGTCATCCCTCTTTCTCAGATCCTTGTTCCCACCTCCCTTTCCCCCTCCCCTTCCTCCATTTCCCCACTTCCGCCCTTTCCCCCCCCTTCGGCCTCTCTGAATCATCCTCCCCCTGTTGCCTTCTTCCTCCATTTCTATTCTCACCGCAGTGTAAGCACTCTTGTAGTGGCGAACGCGGCTCTTGAGGCGCCTGGGCTTGCTGACAGGAGCACGGACTGGCGTCACTCCCACTGCGTACGGGGCTTCCCCCTCCTGCCCTTCTTGCTCTGCTGCCGCTGCCCTCTCTGCGGCTGCCTGCTGCTGCGCTAGCCTGCAGCGAGGGAGTGAGGGGGAGCGAGGCGGAGTGAGGGGGAGTGAGGGGGGGTGAGGGTATTTTTGAGGCGCCTCAAAAGTTCCCCCTCCTGCCCTTCTTGCTCCGCTGCCGCCGCCCTCTCTGCGGCTGCCTGCTGCTGCGCTAGCCTGCAGCGAAGGAGTGAGGGGGGGTGAGGGTATTTTTGAGGCGCCTCAAAAGTTCCCCCTCCTGCCCTTCTTGCTCCGCTGCCGCCGCCCTCTCTGCGGCTGCCTGCTGCTGCGCTAGCCTGCAGCGAAGGAGTGAGGGGGGGTGAGGGTATTTTTGAGGCGCCTCAAAAGTTCCCCCTCCTGCCCTTCTTGCTCCGCTGCCGCCGCCCTCTCTGCGGCTGCCTGCTGCTGCGCTAGCCTGCAGCGAAGGAGTGAGGGGGGGTGAGGGTATTTTTGAGGCGCCTCAAAAGTTCCCCCTCCTGCCCTTCTTGCTCCGCTGCCGCCGCCCTCTCTGCGGCTGCCTGCTGCTGCGCTAGCCTGCAGCGAAGGAGTGAGGGGGGGTGAGGGTATTTTTGAGGCGCCTCAAAAGTTCCCCCTCCTGCCCTTCTTGCTCCGCTGCCGCCGCCCTCTCTGCGGCTGCCTGCTGCTGCGCTAGCCTGCAGCGAAGGAGTGAGGGGGGGTGAGGGTATTTTTGAGGCGCCTCAAAAGTTCCCCCTCCTGCCCTTCTTGCTCCGCTGCCGCCGCCCTCTCTGCGGCTGCCTGCTGCTGCGCTAGCCTGCAGCGAAGGTGTGAGGGGGGGTGAGGGTATTTTTGAGGCGCCTCAAAAGTTCCCCCTCCTGCCCTTCTTGCTCCGCTGCCGCCGCCCTCTCTGCGGCTGCCTGCTGCTGCGCTAGCCTGCAGCGAAGGAGTGAGGGGGGGTGAGGGTATATTTGAGGCGCCTCAAAAGTTCCCCCTCCTGCCCTTCTTGCTCCGCTGCCGCCGCCCTTTCAGCAGCTGCCTGCTGCTGCGCTAGCCTGCAGCCAAGGAGTGAGGGGGGGTGAGGAGGGTATTGGGTGGCATACCGTGGGGTATTCTAAGGTGCTGGTGCTGCGTGAAAGTGAATTCGATTCTAAAAGAGCCTGAAGACGGACGGAGCATGCTTCGGAGATGCCTCATAAGCAGCAGCATGGATGGAGGAGAGGAGGAGAGGGAGGGAGGAGGAGAGGGGGAGAAGGGGGAGAAGACGAGAGGAGAAGAGGGGGAGAGAAGGAGAGGGGGAGAGCACCCACCGGAAGGCCTTGAGGCCACGGTACACGAGGAGAGCAGCGTAGAGCAGACAGGCAGGTGCGTGCACGTGATGTCTGAGAATGAGTGTGTGCATGAGCATTGAGCAGCACGCATGGAGGAGGAGAGGAGGAGCAAGAGCACCCACCGGAAGGCCTTGAGGCCACGGTACACGAGGAGAGCGGCGTAGAGCAGGCAGGTGCCCATAGCAGAGAGTAAGTAGAGCAGGAAGAGCCCCCAGAAGGAGTCCGGGCCCAGGCGCATCGACTCCAGCTCCAGCCCTGAACTGCACGTGCCCTTGCCCTGTCGGTGTGGCGGGGGGAGGTGAAAGAAGGGCTTTGGTTTGGATAGAACTCAACAGCCGTCATCGTCCGGGCCCAGGCGCATGGACTCCAGCTCCAGCCCTGAACTGCACGTGCCCTTGCCCTAGGGTGAGTGTTTGTGTGGGAGGAGAAGGGGGGTGGGTGGGGTTGTGGGGGTGAAAGGTGGGGGGGTTGAGTCGACTGAGAAGTGAAGCCCCCAGAAGGAGTCCGGGCCCAGGCGCATTGACTCTAGTTCCAACCCCGCACTGCAACTGCCCTTGCCCTGGAGGAGGGGAGGTGGAAGAGGGGGAGATGGAGGAAGCAAGGTGGGAGGAGCGGGAACAAAACAACGAAGGGTAGGGGGCAGGTGGGGGGGAAGGATGGAGTTGACGAGGGTGAGAGAGGAGGTGCAAGAATGGTCCTGGGTAGAACTGAAGGCAGAGCTTTCAACAACAACCTTCCTTGCAAGCAAAGTGAACGATTCTGAAAGAGGATGCGTTCTTGAGGCGCCTCAAAGACGGATTTTGAAAGAGGACGCGTGTGTGCCTGTCTGCCTGTCTGCCTACCTATATGTGCGCCTGAGCGGGTGCGTGGGTGCGTGTGTGCATGCGAGAGTCACTTACCCGGAGCCACAGGTCATGCAGAGACTGCAGCTGGCCGTTCTGTGCCAGGGTCTCTATCGCCAGAGACAGGTCCGCTGTCAGAGACGACCCCCTCTGGAACGCCTGTGGCAGAGAGCAGAGAGAGAGAGAGAGCAGTGGTGGGGAAGATTGGTTGGGGAGAGCGAGTCGTGGGGAAAGGGTCTGTGCCAGGGTCTCTATCGCCAGAGACAGGTCCTCTGTCAGAGATGACCCCTTCTGGAACGCCTGTGGCGCAGCACAGAGCACAGCACACAGAGGCACAGTCATGGGAGCAACGGTGGTGATCAAAGAGGGTGGGAGGTAGTGCGAGAGAGCGGGTAGTGGTGTTTGGGAGTGCGGGAAGGACAGATAGGTAGTGTCGATGAACGGGGACACGTGAATTTTCAGGGGCGCGTGTCACGTGTGCAACGAGCATTCACGGAGGGCGCGGGCGAGGAAAGAGGGAGGGAGAGAAACCACCAGGGAAACAGGCAGGGCATGAGATTCTTTGTCCACTGCTAGCCCATGAGGCAAACAGCAAGAGCAGCAGGATCAGCGATAGAAACAGACGCACAAAGCTGACTTCTGAGTCGACTCAAAAGGCAAACAGCAAGAGCAGCGAGAGCAGACGACGCACGAAGCCAAAGTTGAAGGTGGCAAAGGCGTGAGGCGGCTTGGTGTAGTAGCAGTGGTCGGAGAGGAATATGTCGAGGTAGGGCTCCTCATCCACCACCACCGCCACCTGCTGCTCCTGCACCACCGCATCCCAGTCCCCCTCCGGGTCTATGGCCACTAGGCGCGACTGGGAAGAAGGGGGTAGGTGGGATGGAAGGGCGGGGGAAGGATGGCAAAAAGATAGGGGGATGGGGAAGGAGGGGGAGAAGGAAAGGGAGATGATGGGTCGGCTTCTTAGGTGCCTTATGGTATGAGGGAAAGCGGTAGGGAAAACGGGAGGTGGAGGATGTGAGGTGAGGGAAAGTGAGGTTTCTGTTTGGCAGGGTAGGCTGGTGGCACACTTCAGTTCGGAATCAGACCTGGCAAGTTGCACACTTTCAACTGCACATGGAGGCACTTGCTTGCACAGAGTGTGTCGTATAGGTAGGGGGCGCAAGGTGGGCAAGGAGTGGAGCTTTTCCAGTGCAACCAAGGTATCTGAGTCGACCAAAAAATCATCTCCGGGCATTGCCACACGGGCACAGCGAGGAGCATCAGCGTGTCAAGGCAGAGAGGAGAGGGAGAGAGTGGGAGGCAGCAGCAGCTGACCTCGTTGATGCCCACGCCCTGCATGTACGCCGCTGTGAAGGAGCCCGCCCTGTATCCCACGGTCTGGTTGCCCTGCTGCAGCGCTGTGAAGTCCTGCTCACAGCGGCAGCGGTGGCAGCAGCAGTGGCGGGGGCGGCGGCGGCGGCGGCGGCGGCGGAGGCAGGAGGAGACGGGGCGATTCAGGAAAGAGATGAGATGGTGGAGTTTCATGGGGAGTCGTACAACCTAGTGCATAGTCATGTATGTGCATGTGCAAGTGCATGTGCAAGTGCATGTGCATGTGCGTGGGCATGTGCGTGGGCATGTGCATGGGAATGAGAATAGCCATGGCATGGCACGACTAACTGAACATGATACACCCATGAGGGAAGAAAGGCACGAGAAAAAGGGAGTCGAGGGAGAGATAGAGAGAGGACGGGGCAGGGGGAAAGGGGGTGGGGGTGGGGTAGGACGTACGGAGACGGTGGGCTCGGACTGGCTGACGGTGAGAACAGAGGAGAGACTAGCAGTGTAGGCAGAGGAGATGACAAAGACCACGAAGAGCCACACGATCACCACTGTGCGACCCAGCGTCGTGCGCACTTGCTCCTCTGGTGTGGTGAAGGAGGAGGGGGGGAGGGAGGAGGGGTGAGGGGTGAGAAGGAGGGAGCAGGGTGAAGCAAGGAGAGGAGGGTGGATAACAAGAGAAAAGGGTGAAGAAAGAAAGAAGGGTGGAGCAAGAGCGACTGTGACAGAGAGTGTGTGAGCGAGTGATAGAAGCGGAAAGAGAGATGGGAAAGGGCAGAAAGGAGAGTAGTGTGCGTGGGGGAAGAGAGGACGAGGGAAGAGAAGGATGGGCAGAATGGTGGCAGAATGGTGGCAGGATGGTGGCAGAATGGTGGCAGGATGGTGGCAGAATGGTGGCAGGATGGTGGCACAATGGTGGCAGGGCAGGCAGCGCGTACCATGAGAGAAGGTCATGGTGGCAAAGGAGAACCTGCTCATGAGGAGGAGCCGGGAGTGGAAGAGGAAGGTGGGGAGAGGAGAGGAAGGGGGACAAGGAAGAGGGTGGGGGGAAAAGGGGGAGGAAGTGGGGGGGAAAAGGGGGAAGAAATGGGGGCAAGAGGGGAGGAGGGAGGAGCTGAGGAAGGTATAAAAGAAAAGAAGGCAAGAGATAGAGCAAGAGCAGATGAGAGAGACAAGAGAAAATTTGCAGGTTTACCGGCACAACAACAGCAAGTTGATTTAGGCACGGCACATCTGCCTCACTCACCACCTCACTCACCACCTCGCTCACCACCTCGCTCACAGCATCCTTTCTAAACGACTCGTTCCGTCCTACTTCCCAGCACGCACACGCACACCCTCCATACTCCTCGCCCTGCATGTATCCCCACTTCCCCATTCGCTCTCAAACAGCTTCCACACACGCTCACAAATACTCCCCCCTCCCCTCCCCCCTCCCACTTCTCCCCATCCCCCACGCCTCACCCCCCACCCCCCATCCCCCACCGCCTCCCCCCTCCCCCCCACACGCACCAGACGCTGGTGGCGAGCTGCTGGTGCAGCTTGCCGCCAAAGTCTTCGTTCTGCAGGTGCTCGAGGAACCAGACGACGAGCGCGGTGTAGAAGAAGGACACGTACAGCAGCACCCACATGCCCGGGGTGAACGGCGCCAGGAACGCCCACGTGTTGGGCGCCGCCCGCTGCACTGGCACCACGAAGGACAGGCCAGATGACTGCAGGATGCGGGGGGGAGAGGGGGTGGTGAAAGGCAGAGGGGTGAACGGTGCCAGGAACGCCCATGTGTTGGGCGCCGCCCGCTGCACCGGCACGGCACCACAAAGGACAGCCCCGAGGACTGCCAGATGCGGGGGAGAGAATGGGCGAGACGGGTGGGTGGGCGGGCAGGGTGGGTGGGTGGGCGGGTGCATGAGGGGACAGGGAGTAAGGAGGGGAGGATGCGGAAAGGGGAATTTTGTGAGGGGAGAGAAGAGGGAGGGTGTGAGGGGCAGAGGGGTGGCGGGGCGTCAGGAACGGCCATGTGTTGCGAATGGCACAAGGGGGAATGCGAAGCGAAGGAGTGGGGAAAGAAGTGGGGATGGGAGTGGGGACGGGATGGAAGTGGCGGCGGCGTAAGGGCGGGGAAACGGGGAGCGGGAGGAAATGTGTCGTGTGCAATTGTAACGAGGTGACTTTTGAATCGACTGAAAAGTCACCTGGAGCAAGTGGGTGGTTACCTCGAAGGGCTGTGTGAAGTCCACGAGCAGGGCTCGGTCGGATGTGATTGTGATGTCCCCCACCGCGGCATCGTACGTCTGCTCTCCCCGCATGTGGGGCGGTTGGGATGGATAAGAGATGATGAGAGGAGAGGCGAGGAGAGGAGAGGAGAGGAGAGGAGAGGAGAGGAGGGGAGAAGAGAGGAGAGGAGAGGAGAGGAGAGGCGAGGAGAGGAGAGGAGAGGCGAGGAGAGGAGAGGATAGGAGAGGGATGGATTGTTTGGAAGGGAGAGAACGAGTGGGAAGGGAGAGAAGAAGAGGGTAAAGGGAGGAGAGGAAGAGGGTGGAGGGAAGAGAGGAGAGGAAGAGGGTGGAGAGAAGAGAGGTTATTCATCCATGCAAGTTGAGCCAAGACTAAAGCATTGACGAGCCGCAGCCATGAAAGCCAGGACAACCTTGCTTCCACCCGTGTGATTCTAACTCACAGAATGCCAATAACGAGCCAACATTCCATACTGGCAACACACCTTATTGGCAACAGCAGCGAGCATGGCATCATAACTGGGCGGGGTCTGGCCGTCGCCGTACGCGACAAACTGGTAGGAGAGCGTGTAGGGCAGCAGCACCACACACATTAATCCCAACACACCTTATTTGCGACTGCAGAGAGCATGGCATCGTAACTGGGCGGGGTCTGGCCGTCGCCGTACGCGACAAACTGGTAGGAGAGCGTGTAGGGCAGCAGCGCGACAGCGGACTTGAAGACGTCGATACAGAAGCCCGAGAACTTGTCGTTGCTGGACGACGTGCCGTTGCTGCTCTCCCCCACAAACACAAACTCGTGGTGCACCTGGGCATGGCAGGGCAGAGCAGGGGAGGGGCAGGGGAAGGGGGAGCGTGGGTGGGGGTTGGGGGGGAACGGGTGGAGGAGCAACAAGCTGGCCAGTTATGAGCCTGCCATTCCGTCTCTATTTCTCTCTCCCTCCGTCTCTATATCGCTCTCCTAAACGATTCCATCTATAGGTTCTTCCCTTCCCCCTCCTTACCATCATGCGTGGCACAAACACAATACTCTTTGCGCCGGCTCAAGGAGACACCCCTACCCTCCCGGGCCTTACCTTTTTGTTTGGCACAGTGACCTGGAGAGGGGCAGAGGACTCGAACGAAGTTATTATTTTTAGACATCTCAAAAATCCACTTCTTTCATGTGGCTTACCCTCCCTCCCTCTCTGGCCTTACCTTTTTGTTTGGCACGGCGATCTGGAGAGGGGCAGAGGACTTGGGGAACGCTCCCAGAGGTACCTGGGGAGGGGCGAGGGGAGAGAGCGTGGTGAGAGAGGATGGGGAGAGAGGTGGGGAGAGAGAGTGGGGAGAGAGGGTGGGGAGTGAGGGGACGTGAAGAGAGGGGACGAGGGGAAGGGGAAGAGGAGAGAGGGCGGGGAGAGAGGTGACGGGCAGAGAGGGGACGAGGGGAAGGGGACGAGAAGAGAGGGCGGGGAGAGAGGTGACGGGCAGAGAGGGGACGAGGGGAAGGGGACGAGAAGAGAGGGCGGGGAGAGAGGTGACGGGCAGAGAGGGGACGAGGGGAAGGGGACGAGAAGAGAGGGCGGGGAGAGAGGTGACGGGCAGAGAGGGGACGAGGGGAAGGGGACGAGAAGAGAGGGCGGGGAGAGAGGTGACGGGCAGAGAGGGGACGAGGGGAAGGGGACGAGAAGAGAGGGCGGGGAGAGAGGTGACGGGCAGAGAGGGGACGAGGGGAAAGGGGACGAGAAGAGAGGGCGGGGAGAGAGGGGACGGGCAGAGCAGGCCGGAAGAGCGGGCGGGGGGAGAGGGAGGAGAAAAGGGGGGACAGGGCAAACTTTGGAGAAGAAGCAAGGGTTGTTGACACACACAAAGGGATCAAGATGGCTCAAGAAAAGGAGTACTGACGACAGGGCTCCAACCAAGGCAAGGGAGGGGAGGATTTGAAGACTGGGAGTGAGTAGCCCCTTGGAACAAGTGCTACTTTTTTATTCTCCAGAACGGATACACCCCCCCAGCGTTTCTTGAGTTGGCAAAGCAAGAAAGGAAATAAAACACACACACCCACACACACTCTCTCTCTCTCTCACACACACACACACACAGACACACACAGACACACACACACACACGCACGCACGCACGCACGCACACGCACACGCACCCAGACACAGACACACACACAGACAGAGACACAGACAGAGACACAGACAGAGACACAGACAGAGACACACACACACACACACACACACACACACACACACACACACACACACACACACAAACACACACAAACAAACACCATATGAAGAAAAGGCACACTATATCCCTTTCCCCTTTTTCCTCCCACCGCAATCGACAGCACAAACCAAACGCATTAAGCAAGTGCGCGCAACACAACTCCCAGGTCACGTGCCTTGCTGGTTGAGAGAGACAGAGCCACCCACCCACCCACCCACCTCTGTGATGCCTCCCGGCCATATGACTGCACGCAGGGACGCATCTGCATCCGCCACCACACCCTGCGACGCTGCTGCTGCCGCTGCTGACACCCCCACTGCCTTCGCCTGGGGGATGCAATGCAGGAGTGCGAAGCGGGCAGGGCAAGCCCGGATTGGTACAATGCGTGGAAGAAGGGGTAGGAGAGGGGGCGACACACGGGATGGGGGGGGGGGGGGGGAAGGGGGTTGTTGGGGGAGAGAGGGGAGGGGGTGGAGGGGGAGTGGAAGAAGAGAAAGGAGAGGGGGTGAAGGAGAGGGCAGGCACTACTGGGATGCAGCAGCAAGCAAGATAGATCTTCCAAGCTGACTGAGCAATTGATTTGAATTCACTGGAAGTTGTGCGAGGGAGAAGAGCGTGAGTAAGTGAGGGCGACATGAGTGAGTGAGGTTGATGTGAGTGAGTGAGGGTGACGTGAGAGAGGGCGACGTGAGTGAGTGGGAAGCGGGTGAGGGGGAAGTGTGCAAGACGTGTGAGTGAGCGTACAGCAGTAGCGCGAGTGGTGAGGCGCCTGGCTTCCAGCCGGTCCACCATCTGAGCAGTAGCACGGCCGAACGCACAGGAGCGAGGCCACGTGGGCAGGAGGGCAACGTGGTTAATATGGGGCACGTGGGCCATATGGGGCATGTGGGGCATGTGGGGCATATGGGGCATGTGGGGCATATGGGGCACGTGGGCCATATGGGGCATGTGGGGCATGTGGGGCATGTGGGGCATATGGGGCATGTGGGGCATGTGGGGCATGTGGGGCATGTGGGGCATGTGGGGCATGTGGGGCATATGGGGCATGTGGGGCATATGGGGCACGTGGGCCATATGGGGCATGTGGGGCATGTGGGGCATGTGGGGCATATGGGGCATGTGGGGCATATGGGGCATGTGGGGCATGTGGGGCATGTGGGGCATGTGGGGCATGTGGGGCGTGTGGGGCATGTGGGGCATGTGGGGCATATGGGGCATGTGGGGCATGTGGGGCATGTGGGGCATATGGGGCATGTGGGGCATATGGGGCATGTGGGGCATGTGGGGCATGTGGGGCATGTGGGGCATGTGGGGCATGTGGGGCATGTGGGGCATATGGGGCATGTGGGGCATATGGGGCACGTGGGCCATATGGGGCATGTGGGGCATGTGGGGCATGTGGGGCATGTGGGGCATGTGGGGCATGTGGGGCGTGTGGGGCATATGGGGCATGTGGGGCATGTGGGGCATGTGGGGCATGTGGGGCATGTGGGGCATGTGGGGCGTGTGGGGCATATGGGGCATGTGGGGCATGTGGGGCATGTGGGGCATGTGGGGCATGTGGGGCATGTGGGGCATATGGGGCATGTGGGGCATGTGGGGCATGTGGGGCATGTGGGGCATGTGGGGCATATGGGGCATGTGGGGCATGTGGGGCATGTGGGGCATGTGGGGCATGTGGGGCAGCAGCAGCAGCAGCAGCAGCACAGCACTTGCTCACCTGGATGGAGGAGAGGAACGGCTGTGAAGCAGATGCAGATGCAGGAGGGGCAGGAGGCGGGGGCGGCGGAGGGGGGGGCGGGGGAGGAGGAACAGCTGGGGAGGATGACGGCGCAGGGGAAGGGGCGGAGGCGTTGGAGGGTGAGGGGGGAGGGGAGGTGGGTGGCGGGGAGGGGGGGAGGGGGAGGCTGGGGGGCGCGGTAGTGGTAGAAGGCGATGGTGCGGAGGCCATGACGCAGCACATTAGCCACTCGGAAGAACTGCTCCTGTAGGTCGCCGCCTGTCGTGAATGACACCCTGGTGGGGGTGGGGTTGGGGAAGGGGAGAGAAGGAAGGGATGGATTGTTTGTGAGGCGGCTCAACGGAAGAAGAACTGCTCCTGTAGGTCGCCCCCTGTCTGAATGACACCCTGGCGGAGGGGGGTGGGGGGGAAGAGGGGAGAAGGGAGGGAGGGAGGGAGGGAGGAGGGAGGGAGGAGGGAGGAAAGAACAAACTGCTCTGGAGGTATGCAATACCAGGGGACAGGCATTCAGCATGAGGGATGAGGTGCGAGGCAGCGAGGGAATGTGATTAGTAGGGGATTCAGCTGGGTTGGATAGGGTCAGGTCAGACTGCATGTGACACACGGTGGGGGGGGGGTGGGTGCATGACCGGACTGGCAGAGTGCTACACGTACAGTCCAGAATACCCTGCCATGTTGCTTCTATTAGGAATTTTTTTTGTCGATTCCAAAGACAGACTGGCAAAGTGCTGCACTGCACTTACTCTCCCAGGAGTCCTGTCATGTTGCTCTTGAGGATGGCGGCCAGCAATGCATCCCCGCCTGCTCACACCCATGCCATGCGCACACGCAGACACACATGCACACATACACACACACACACTCACACGTTCATACACGTAGAACTTTGTGAACAGCAGCAGGCAGCACAGCATGAGAAAGAATCCACGTTGCATCTTAAATCAAAAACCCTACTTGGTACATGCAGGAACCCTCCACTCCACCCACCATGAACCCACAACACAAACCTACCGCCATTCTTAAAGGCACCATGCACGCACCTGAATGACTTTTGAGTCGAGTCATAAGCACGCACCACACCCTTACCCCACGAGACACCTGCACGCACCTGCAGCTGCTGAAAGTAACCTTTAAATCAAAATCCACGGGCACCATGCTGTACACGCACCTGCACGCACCCCCAGCTGCTGGAAGCTGGGTTTGGTGCCAGCCAGCCATGGGGCTGGGAGGGGGCTGTTTTTTAGTCGACCAAAAAACAGACCGTGCCATGCACGCACCTGCATGCACCTGCACGCACCTTTATGCACCTCCAGCTGCTGGAAGCTGGGGTTGGTGCCAGCCACGGGGCTGGGAGGGGGCGAGGGCGCAGCACCAGGGGGAGGAGAGGGCGCGGGAGGGGGCGGGGGGGCGCGGGAGAGAGCAACTGCGGCATAGGCAGCGAGATGCACGGCGTCATAGGCTGATATGGCCTGCCGCAGTGCCTCGTCTGGGGACTGGGGTGTTTGTATCGGGGGGGAAGGGTAGAGAAGGTAAGGTGGTTTAGGGTGGGAGCATAAACAGCGAGGTGCACGGAGTCATAGGCCGATATGGCCTGCCGCAGTGCCTCGTCTGGGGACTGGGGGAGTGAGGGGAGGACAGGCAAGGATGTGGAGCAGAGGAGAGGAGGGAAGTGTGCCATGAAAGTTGGGAAGGCAGCATAGGCAGCAGCAGCAGCGAGGTGCACGGAGTCATAGCTGCAACGGCTTGCCGGAGTGCCTTGTCTGGGGACTGGAGGGGGGATGGGCAAGTTGTACAGGGGATGGGGGGAGGGGGTGGGGTGGGGGACGGGAAAGAAGGTGGGGTTGAAGTACATGGGGGTTGTGTGGCAAGAGACTTGGGGAAGGTGGCATGGGTGAGGAGGTGAGGGGCATCATAGGCGTAGGTCGCATGGCTGAGGGCTCACGTGGGGATTGAGGGAGACCGGCAGGAGTAGAGGAGGAGGCGGGAAGGGGGTGGCTGGGAGGTTGGGGGGGAGGAAGAAAAGAAGAATCCCCTCCTTTCCTCTTCCATTCGCCCTCACTGAGCCTACCTACCTCTCTTCCCCAAGAAGCATGCACCAGCAGGGAAGCAAGCAAGCAATGAGCTAGCCCAGGGTCTAACTAACAGGCTGCTGCACAGCACGGCAGAATCTGTTAACCTTGGCCTTGAAGGCACTCCTGTCACTTCCAACCCGTAACTCCAGGAGGCACGCACCTGCAGGGTGGCGAGCGCTGTGTTGGCCCTGGCCTTGATGGCCTGCTGCACGTCCGCCAGTCGTGCTGTGGGCACGTCAAACGGTAGCGTGCCCAGCATGCCCTGTGCACAGCGGGTGTTGGGGGGGAGGGAGGAGGGAAGGAGAGACAGGGAGAGTGGGGAAATAGTCGGCAGGGAGTGTGAAGGGCGAGGGAGAAGAGAGGGAGCAGAGGGTGAATGTCTCAGCTGGGGCCGCACCTCAACCCCTCATTCACGAATCCCTCCCCTCCCTTGCCACCCTTCCCTTCCACCTCTTCCTTCGCCCACCCTCGCCTCCCTACCCTCTTGCCCCTGCCCTCCCCTTCTCCCCCTACCCCCCGCACACCTCACAGCCGACGAGGATGGGGGAGAGAGCGTGGTCAGTGGAGAGAACAGACATGACGCCCGCAGTGGCGATCCACACGTACCCCGCCGTGAACAGCCCCAGCTGCGCCGCTGCCAGTGCGCATACACAGGTGAGATGTGGGTGAGAGCGGGGTTGGGGGTGGGGGTGGGGGTGAGGGAGGGGTTGAGAGTAGGGGTGAGGGTTGGGGTGGGAGTGTGGGTGTGGAGTGGTTGTATGCACGAGGGACGGCAAGGGTAAAGGGGGGAAAGAGAGGGGGGAGGGGAAGGGGAAGGGGAAGGGAAGGGGACTGGAAGGAGAGAAAACCAGGGTTGGGAAAGAGAGAAAGCCGGAGTAGGGATTAGGAAGGAAAAACATAAAACCAAAGAGTGCCATGTTACGAAGGTATGAAAGACGTAGAGAACACAAGAGAAAAAAGAAACCAAAGCAAGCATGAAAAGGCGAAGAGACTTTCCCTTCTATACCGAAAGCACAATTCTCCCGTGGGTGCATGTGCGTGTGCGAATGCATGTGCATGTGTGTGTACGCATGTAGGCAGACTGCCAACCAACATGCACGTGCACATGCGCATGCGTGTGTCGGGGCCGGGCAGGGCAGGGCAGGGCAGGGCAGGGCAGGGCGGGGCAGGGAAGCGCACCTGTTCTCTTTTGAGGACGATACGGATGGTGATGGGGCTGTGCAGGAGCAGCACGAACACTGACGCCTCCACTGCCCGCTTTTGAGCGTGTGCGTGTGCGTGCGCGTGTCCGTGTCCGTGTGCATGTGTGTGTGCATGTGTGTGCATGTGTGTGTGCATGTGTGTGTCCATGTGTGAGCAAAGCAGGGCAGCACGCACCTGTCTTTAGAACGATACGGATGGTGGTGGGGCTGTGCAGGTGCAGCACGAACACCGACGCCTCCACTGCCCGCACCTGCAGGAATGCTGCCATCACGTCCGTCTCCGCGCTCACTGCGCTGTCAAACTGCCACGACGCCACCACCCGTGCCGTGCCCTGAGGAAGGGGGAGAGAGACGGGGGAGATGGGATGGGATGGGGGAGAAGCAATGGGGGAGGTGAGAGGGGAATTTTGCCGCCATCACGTCCGTCTCGGCGCTCACTGCGCTGTCAAACTGCCACGACGCCACCACCATGCCGTGCCCTGAGGAAGGGGGAGAGAGACGGGGGAGATGGGATGGGGGAGAAGCAATGGGGGAGGTGAGAGGGGAAGTTTGCCGCCATCACGTCCGTCTCGGCGCTCACTGCGCTGTCAAACTGCCACGACGCCACCACCATGCCGTGCCCTGCAAGTGGGGAAGAGGGTTGAGAAGGCGGGGCCGTGGGGGAAGGGGAGGTGGGGAGTGGGGTACGAGGGACGTGGGGGGAGATGAGAGGGTGGGGATGAGAGAGAGGAGGATGACTGGTCGTCCAAGTAGGAATGCTGCAATCACGTCTGTCTCGGTGGCGCTCACTGCGCTGTCAAACTGCCACGACGCCACCACTCGTGCCGTGCACTGAGGAAGGGGGGGAGAGAGGGGGTGGAAAAATGGGGGATGGGCGAGGGGTTTGAGAAGAGATGAGCCAGGTCAGGAGAAGTGGGAATCAGGGGAGATGGTACCGGAGAGATGAGGTGGGGAGAAAAATCGAGGGGTGATAGTGATGATGGTGACTGACTGGAAGGGGTGATAAGTGGCATGGCAATGGTGGTAACCATGGTGGTGGGGGGGGAAGAGAGGGGGGGAGTGGGATGACCATGACTGACCCGCTGTTGCAGCAGGCGAGTGAGGGACTGGAAGCCGTTCCATGCGCTGTCAGTGCTCTCAAAGAGCGCCACCACTTGCGTCCAGTTGTAGAACCCCACCAGGTCTGATTCATGCCCGTGCCGTGACATATGCCATGCCAGTGAAATCCCATACCATACCATGAGACGCATGCCATGCCATGCCATGCCATGTGACACGCAATGCCGTGTGACACGCAATGCCATGTGGCATGGTTATGTTTTCAGCCCGCACCACGAGAGGTAAGAGGGCGTGTGAGAGCAATAGGGTGATAACAACTGAGTGGAGTGGAGTCGACCCTACAGCGATGAGAAGCGATTCTCCCAATGGGGTCACAACGCTCAAGAAGCACTTGGCTAGGGGAACAGGGACGAATCCACAAGCATAGGAGTCGAGGAGGAGGCAGGGGGTGGGGGAAGGAAGAAGGGGACTGGTGGGGGGGGGGAAGAGGTGGGCAGGCAGCACGGGAATCATGAAAAAACAAGAGCTAATGCAGTGCTCTGGCTGGCTGGCTGGCTGGCGTGGCGGGTGTGCACGCACCGGCAACGACGGCCATCTGAGTGTAGTCGTCGTAGTGCACGCGCACAAAGTAGGGCAGCTGCGCGTTGGCATTCAGCTGCAGCAGTGGGCCCGTGTGCCATTGTGGTAGCGAGGAGACTTTTGAGCCGACTCACCAGCAACAACAGCCATTTGAGCATAGTCATCGTAGCGCACGGGCACAGATACAGCAGCTGCGCGTTGGCGTTCATTCAGCAGAGAAGGGCCCGTTGTGCCATTTGAGCCGACTCACCAGCAACGACGGCCATCTGGGCATAGTCATCGTAGTGCACGCGCACAAAGTAGGGCAGCTGCGCGTTCGCGTTCAGCAGCGGGTCCGTTGCAGCATACGCTAGCATCGGCACCTGCAGGGGGCACCAAGAGGGTGGGACGAGACGAGTGAGAAGTTGAGGATATGTATAGGGGCGTGGGGGCGGGAGTTGAACCTCTCAGCAGCGTGTCCATTGCCTTGCTTTTTTTTTTTTTTAACGGCACCGGAGGGAGGGGGCCACAATCGGGCGTGGGTGGGAGCGGGGCCTCTCAGCAGTGGGTCGGGTCGGGTCCGATGCCATGTGTGCTAGCATCGGCGCCTGAAGGGCGCGCCATGGGGGATGAGAAGGAGAGAGGAAGGGGTGAGGGGGTGGCGCAGTGAGAGGCGGGACAGGGTGCGTGGGTAGGAGCTGAGCTGAGCATGGGACTGTAAGTGGGAGTGGGAACAAACGGAGGAGACGACTTCAGGCGAGGAGAGCAAGGAGATAACGGCGAAATGGATACTTGCCGTATGAGCCACCACCAGTGCGCCGCAGTCCGGTGTGGTCCGGTGATTACGTTCCTATAGGCATCCCATGTACGTGGGAGGCCGGTCTGCCGCCCCCTATAATAGGCGGCGGCGAGCGAGCAACGTGCCTGAACGGTGGTGAGCATCAAGCGAGCAGGAAAGGGAGAGAGGAAGCGAGCGGCGTGCCTGCATGGCGGAGGCGATGGGGCCCACAACGGAGGTGACTTCAATTCACTACAATGTCACACAGCGAGCAAGCGAACGAGTGCGCAAGGAAGGGAGCAAGGCAGTGAGCGGCGTGCCTGCATGACGGAGGCGATGGGGCCCACAACGGAGGTCTGCAGGGACGTGGATGGGCCCAGCAGCACCGAGGGGGGTGGCGTCCCCAGTAGCAGATCCAACGCTGCGATTGGGATTCGGGCGGAGAGGGGCGGAGCGGAACGGAGGACAGGGGAAAAGGGGAGGGAGAGGGAAGGGGGAAGGGGAAGGGAAGGGGGGAGTGAAAGGAAAGGGGGAGGGGAAGGGTTAAGGGGGGAAGAAGGAACATAAAGGTGGATTTTTTACGGAAGGAAAGATGCTTGGAATGAGGGACGACATTTAATTCGGAATGAACAGAAGGGACCTGGGAGAGAGAGGGCACAGGTGGGTGGAGGTCAAGGGAGGCCACCCTCCCCTCACCACCCTCCCCTCACCACCCTCCCGTGACCACCGTCCCCTCATCACCCTCCCTCACCATCGCCCCCCTGTTCACTCATCGACAGCCTCGGCCTGGAAGGCGTCGGCACTTTTGAGTCGACTCAAAAGGTGACTTTGGTGCAATTGTAACGAGGTGACTTTTGAGTCGACTCAAAAGGTGACTTTGGTGCAATTGTAATGAGGTGACTTTTGAGTCGACTCAAAAGTCAAAAGTCACCATCGCCCCCCTGTTCGCTCACCGGCAGCCTCGGCCTGGAAGGCGTCGGCAGCACTGGCAATGGCGAAGTCAAGGCGGAGGTGGGTGACTGACAGGACAGCACACCACACACTATCCTCACCACCCTGACCCCCCCATCCCATCAGCCCCCGCTTCTCACCATCCCCCCCACCCCCCCCCCCCCCCCCCCCCTCCCGGCTCACCGGCAGCCTCGGCCTGGAAGGCGTCAGCAGCGCTGGCGTTGGCAAAGTCAAGCGCCAGCGGCGCGGGGGAGGCGGGGGGCGTGAGATGCTCCACCGCTAGCTCCATGGCTGCGCGCACCATGGGGGGGGGGGAGGGAGGGGGGGAAAGAAGTGGGGGCGGAGGTGCATGAGTGAGATGCTCCACCACTAGCTCCATGGCTGCGCGCACGGTGCACTGTGGGAGGAACGGCGGGGGGGGAGGGGGGGGTGGGAGGGGAGGGGAAAGGAAGCGTGGAGGATGGGGTATTTGAGTCGACTCAAACTGCGCCTGGGGGGCGTCAGATGTTCCACCGTTAGCTCTATGGCTGCGCGCACCATGGGCGGCCGCGGGGGGAGACGGGGGGGTGAGAGGGAGAGGGGCCGCGACGGGGAAGGAGGGAAAGGGGGGTGGGGGGGAGGGATGATATGACCGTGGGAGACGCAGGGGGCGTTAGATGCTCCACCGCCAGCTCCATGGCTGCGCGCACCAAGGGGGGACGAGGGAAAAAGGGGGGAGAAGGGGGGGGTGGGAGGGTGGCGCGGAAGGGGGAAGGGAGAGGGGTGCGCGAGGGGAGAAAGGGGGTTGGAGGGAGGGAGCGGGATGACACGCGGTGGCAGGACAGGGATGAGGAGGTAGGTGGTGGAGGGGAGAAAGCGCTTCTGCATGGGAGGCAAGGAAGAGCAGATGAAGAGTGCGGGGGGGCTGGGGAGCTGGGGGGCTGGGGAGCTGGGGGGCTGGGGAGCTGGGGAACCGAGGGAGGAGAGACGCAGGGTGTGCTATAGGGGAGGGCGGAAGTGCTGCACGTCGGCAGCGAGGTGCTGAGTCATGGGCCCAGGGTGGTGGGTGGGAGGAGGGGTGGTGGGGCGAGATTGGGAGTAGAGTGCACGGGGGTGAGCAAGAAAAAGGACCGATGAGTTAACATTCATCCATCCATCCATCCATCCATCCATCCATGCATGCATCCATCCATGCATCCATCCATGCATCCATCCATCCATCCATCCATCCATGCATCCATGCGTCCATGCATCCATGCGTCCATGCATCCATGCGTCCATGCATGCGTGCATCCCCATCACAGCAATACTGCTCCTATGGGGCCATGCATGGGGAGAGTACACGCCATTGCCGCCACGATGGTATGCAAGTTTCCCTTTTCCTTGATTTCGGACGACTCGACACTACTCTCATGTGAGGCCTTGCATCGGCTAAGTGCATGCCGTTGCGGCTACCATGCCATGCATAGTCTCGTCTCGCTGCCTCATTTGCTGGCTAGAGGAAGGAAGGCACTCCTTCCACTCAGCACACACGCCTTCCACTCAGCACACACGCCTTTTACTCAGCACACACGCCTTCCACTCACGCGCCTTCCACTCAGCACACACGCCTTCTACTCAGCACACACGCCTTCCACTCAGCACACGCGCCTTCTACTCAGCACACACGCCTTCCACTCAGCACACGCGCCTTCCACTCAGCACACACGCCTTCTACTCAGCACACACGCCTTCCACTCAGCACACGCGCCTTCTACTCAGCACACACGCCTTCCACTCAGCACACGCGCCTTCCACTCAGCACACACGCCTTCTACTCAGCACACACGCCTTCCACTCAGCACACGCGCCTTCCACTCAGCACACACGCCTTCTACTCAGCACACACGCCTTCCACTCAGCACACGCGCCTTCCACTCAGCACACACGCCTTCCACTCAGCACACACGCCTTCCACTCAGCACACACGCCTTCCACTCAGCACACACGCCTTCCACTCAGCACACACGCCTTCTACTCAGCACACACGCCTTCTACTCAGCACACACGCCTTCCACTCAGCACACGCGCCTTCCACTCAGCACACACGCCTTCCACTCAGCACACACGCCTTCCACTCAGCACACACGCCTTCCACTCAGCACACACGCCTTCTACTCAGCACACACGCCTTTCGCTCAACACACGCGTTTTTCACTCAGCAGAAGCGGCGCATCAAAAGCCAAACACGGCCGGGTTCACCCGCGCGCTTGGCTCCGCCTAGGACACGCGAGCCGCCGTTACGCACCAGCTGTAACCAGGTCACCCGCCGGAGTGCCCGCGCTGACGAGACAGCCAATCACCATCTGCCGCCGCTGTGGCTGCGGCTGCTGCTGCTGCTGCTGCTGGGACATCCCAGCCTGTGCGATGTTAGCGTCACGCATTGCTATGTGGCGCTCGGCTCTCCATTTGGACTCTAAGTGTATACTCGCGTGTGATGACGAGAGAGGAGGGGAAAGGGCCGACGCGCGGAGCAGGAGCGGCGAGAGGAGCGAGAGGAGCGGGAGGAGTAGCAGCACAGAGAGACGAGGCTGTAAAGACGGAGACGGTTCGCGACAAAGCTGATTTCGGTCACGGTTGTCGCACCGAGAATTGCAGCAGCGCTGCTTCCGGCGCCATGGATGTCTAGGGTTGCTTAAGTGGCAATCGTGAGCCATAGCTGCAGCTAGGAGTTACACTGTCGTGTCGACATTGCAGCACATGACTACTATCTAGTGATAGTTTGTGACACGGGTTCACTTGCACGTTGCAGTGCTGTTGCTGTTGACCCTTGCTGTGTCTGTGTTTGGATTGGAAGTTTTTTTATGCTCGAAGCAATCACGATGACGAGGTTGATGAAAGTAGAAAGGGGCACGGGACGGGTACAGTGTCGGCCAACGGACACCTGGGTCTTTACCCTGCCCGGTCTGCCTTTTTCTAATCCTTTCTTGTTAGGATGTTAAGCATTGAGACGAAAATGTTAGGTTCTGAAACGGGAATCCACTGTCCATAAGCGAAGTTCCCTAACAAAAAACATTGTACGATAATGTTTTCCAGCACCGACCGGGTAGAAAGGAAATTTGAACCACAGCAGTGGGCTGGGCTGGGCACCGAACCCACGAGGTCCACCATGTTCACTGCCAGGCTCCACAGTAAAAGCATCCAAACACGGGGACCGATCCCGATACATCAGGGCGTAAAACTGGACACGTACACTAGTGTCCCCGAGTGTGGCCACTTCGAATCAACATTATATTTCTCTATACAACGAAAACACTTCGAAATCAAAGCTCACGACACCAAAGGTACCTTCTTCCTTTAATTCGTCTTGGGCACCCTACATACTACCTGCATGTTATCCTTTGGGCCCAAACCTTGCCCTTGATGCATCAAGCTTGGGCTAGGCCCGCACATCCAAATTTCATAGGTATTGGTATATGTTATACCCTGATATTTCAGAGTAGTACATGTTTTACATGCCCTGAATGTTTTGAATTTATGCCCTCCATGTGTCAAGGTACTCTCAATGATAACCTTGGCCTAGTCTGGCTTTCTAGATTAAAATAAATGTTGTAACTATATAGCATTCCCAATGGTATTGTCGTATAATGACGTGTTCTCCAACGATATCGCACTACCAAGGTCTACAGTCGTACATCCACCGTACCAACCGATGATTGATCATTCACAAGTTACACATGTTGGGCTGAGAATAAGCCCTTAGGATCTTTGCAGGGGTGAACTCTGGGTAGGACTGATGTAGTAGCGGAAGCGTTTAATGAAGAGTTGTGAACCACCTTGCGCTAGTATGTGAGGGCAAAGTAAGTTAATTAAAGCAAAGAGATACAGGATTATATAAGAGTACAAGGAATATGAAGAGATACAGTTATAACTACTTTACTGTTGCTGTTGTGGTTCGATACAGTGACGACTCGGACAACTGCTCTGTAGCGAGTCAGTTGTGTGTCCTTGCTGTCGCGCTGTACTTGTCAGGTCAAAGGTCGCTGACCTTTCGCGTAACCTCCAGCAGTTACTTCAACCTCCGAGGGTTGACTCGCTGGTGCCTCGATATGCTTCGCTTCGCTTGTGCCTTGGTGTTTCGACATGACAGAGGCGCTTAAGCTTGATTGTTTCCAACACTCCCCTTCGCTTCTGGAGTGTCGCTGTTGGTGACGTGGCTCTGTCCAGTCAGCAGCATGCAGTACTCGAATTTCTGTTTTCCGAGCTTCTTGGTCAAGTAATCAGCTGCCATCTCGGATGTGGGGCAGTATGACAGCTCGAGTCTCCCCTTTTCGATCTCGTCCTTCACGAAGAAGTATCGCAGGGCGATGTGTTTCGTCCTGTTCGCGAAGCCGTTCTTGTTGGCGATGCGAATTGCTGACTGGTTGTCGCAGAACGGGGTGAAGCTGGGTAACTGAGCTAGCTTCGCTTCTTCCAGTAGTTCGCGAAGGTAGAGTCCTTCCTTGGTGGCTGAGCAGAGTGCTATATATTCTGCTTCAGCTGAGGAGAGCGCGATTAACTCCTGTTTGCTCGACTGCCAGGAGATAGGTCCGATGGGTTCGAGCCGATAGATGTAGCCGGTGCGCGATCGTCTGTTGTCGGAGTCGCCCGCGTGATCGGCGTCGACGTAGCCGATTAGCTTAGGTGTTGTAGTTGCGTTCTTGCGGTAAGTCAGACCGATCGTCGGAGAGCTGACGAGGTAGTGAAGAGCGCGGTCGAGCTCCGCCAGGTGTTCCGTTTCAGGCTTCTTGAGATAGGTGGCGAGCTGGCTTGCAGAGTATGATAGGTCCGGGCGGCAGGTGACGGCTGCGAAAAGGAGACATCCTAGCTTCCTCTGGTAGTCGCGTGTGCCGGCGGGCTTGAGTAGAGTAGATCCTCCCTTGATGTTTCCTGTCGTGTAGCAGTACGGCGTGGAGATGGCGGTCGGTGTGAGTGCGAAGAGCTTGGCGATGGTGTCGGCGTATTTCGCGGCGCTGAGATAGATCGCGTCTTCTTCTTCTCGGATGTTGAGACCGAGGTACTGTGTGACGGTAGATGAGACCGTGAGCGTGAGGTCCTTCTGCAGCTCCCCTTCGAACCAGGTTGTGATGCCGTCGGTCGAGCCGATGTAGAGTAGGTCGTCTACATAGACGATTAACAGGATGTAGTCGGTGCCCTTCGTGAGCCGGTACATGCCTTGATCGTGCGGTAGTTGTTTGAAGCCGATGCGAATGAGACGAGCGTGCATGTGTTGTTGCCATAGTCGCGGAGCTTGCTTGATGCCGTAGAGCGACTTCAGCAGCTGACAGACTTGATTGGGCTCACTGTTGGAGCCGTGCGGTAATTCGACGAGGATTTCTGCGTCAACAGGTGCGTAGAGGAATGCGTTCGCGACGTCGATTTGCCGCATCTTCTTCTTCTTCATGGCGGCGATCGCGAGGAGGATTCGGAGTGAAGTGTGTCGACTGACCGGAGCGAATGTTTCGGTGAAGTCGCGTCCGTGTTCTTGGTCGAAGCCGCGTACGACCCAGCGAGCTTTAAACTTGTCGATGGTGCCGTCAGCTTTTGTCTTCACACGGAAGACCCACTTCCCGGTGAGTACTGTTTTGTTCCGTGCTACGCCGATAGGGACGACCTTCCAGGTGTTGCGTTCCTCCAGTGCCTTTAGCTCCCTGTCCATGGCTTCGCGCCATTTTTCCTTATGTTCCCCCCCCAGAGCCTGTTGAACTGTCGCAGGCTCTTTAGGAATGGCTGCGCCGTGAACTGCGATGACAAGGCCAAGGATTTGGAGTCCACTCTGTGTGTAGCAGGGGAATGAAGTGTCCGCGGGATAAACAGCTTCGTCTCCCGCCTCTGGATCAGGTGCAAAATTGGGTCCTATGCGTTCTGCT